GGAAAAAATTCGAGATTAGTTTTTAAGAGCTGCAATCCAATCACTTTTGCATTCAGCAGACTGATGCTTTCTGTACTTTCTTTCCTTTTTACGGCAAAGTCTTTCAAGTCTTACATTCATAATTATACCAAGAAACAGCAACATCACATCTAACTTTATTAGGATGAAGAAGAGAAATTTAATCTGCCAATTTTTTTGAGTTCATTTTTTTATTTTTAAATTTTTAACAACAGCGATAATAATAATAATGGAAACTTTTTTTTATTATAATCAAGAATAAGTGAAAAAGAAAGACAGTGTTTTGTGGTGTTCTAAGGTGTGTTGTGATATCTTGCGTTGCAGTCAAGAAATTGGCTGATTATTGGAGTTGCATGTGCTGATTGTGAGATTTGAGAGACGTCATGATAGTGAAGTGGTCGTAACACAAATATACGAATGTTGTTGATGCACATAGTCGTACATTACATGATTAGGCTTCAAAGTAAAATCGTCTTGAAAGGTGCAGTTGTCGTTTGGTACTCGGTCTCTTATTTTTTATTATCAGATCACCAAAAGCAAACTATTATGTGTTATGGCATTTTGTTTTTTTCACATCTCGACTGTCAATACATACTCTAAACTGATATATACATACTCTATACATACATACAATACATACTCTATACTCTAAACTCAATACGGTAACCAGAAAAAAAGCATTCAGGAAAAAATGTCTTCAGAAAAAATATCTTCAGTAAAAATATCTTCATTCAAAAAGGTCTTCCAGAAAAAATGCCTTCAAGAAAAAAAGTCTTCAAGAAAAAAAGTCTTCCAGAAAAAACGTCTTCAGGAAAAAAAGTCTTCCAGAAAAAAATCCAACGATACTATTTTATTTTTAAAATATTCATACATACAAAAATGAAATTACATTTTTACATAAAAAATTTGTTACAATAAAAATTAATAAAAATCATAATAACTTTATTATGTTCTTTGTGTATTAATATTATCTGAGAGGTTTATTGGAATGGATTATAGGGTTGTTAAAGTGTTACAGCATGTGCCAAAAACGGTTCTAGGACAATTACCCCCCGGACAAATACCCCCCGGACAAATACCCCCACGCAAATAACTCCCCGGACAAAAACCCCCCCGGACAATTATCCCCCGGACAAAAAACCCCCAAACAATATACCCCCGGACAAATACCCCCCCCCCACCCCCCACGCAAATAACCACCCGGACAAATACCCCCAAAACAAAATACCCCCAGGACAATTACTCCCCGGACAATTTTTGTTTTCAAATTATGATTTATATTATTATTATTAATATTAACAGACAATACGAGACGAGATAGAATGCAATTACTTATTAATTTATAATTATTGTAATGATCATCAGATACACTTTTAAATACAGACAGCCAAAAAACACAAATCGTTGATGATAAAGAATTAAACATTAAGCAAAAGACCATAAACATATAATTAAGTAAATTGGTTCTCTAGCTTTCTAGCGCAAATTGGCATGTAAGTTTAGAACAATCAATGATGATTGATGATGAGAAAGCAATTCGCATGCATTTAATCAATAGTGTAATTTAAATTTTGAAAAAAATATAATTTTATTTCAAGGTTTCTTTGTATATTAATATCATATAAAAAGTTTATTGGCATGGACTTTAAAGTTGTAAAAATTTTAATCGTTATTTTATTCTGTTACTATGGAAATTATTGAAAATAATAAAGTAATAAATAATATTAAACACAGAAACATAATGTGGGTTGACACAAATAATTTTCTGACGCTTGCTACCCGCGACATTATATGCAACAATATTTGAGTGAAAGTATGGTGCTACATTAATATAAAGTATATACGTGATTCATTTATATATCAGAAATAAATTTTTTTATTAAAAATAATCAAGAAAGATTGATGTCATAATGACGTCAACATGAAATTGTTGTTTATAAATTGCTGTTATACAAATGCCGAAAAGAATTAAGCAAAAACATGGCACTTGATCAATGTCTTGAATGTAAAAAAAAAGTTATATTACGTTCAATAAATAACTGCTTAGTAGGCCGATGGACGTTGACACTCCTGCTTGCATTTGAAACAAAATCACGGCAGCAGGTTTTTGAAATGCAAACTGCGTACATTCGAAAACTCGTATCAGACCATGCCGCAATCTTTTCAGGAAAATTAACATTTAGTCGTTATGGAGAAATATGTAATATCAGCAAAAAGTTGGTTGCTATATACTCAACAACTTAAGGAAGTAAAAGTAACAAACCATGCTATTGGGAAAAGGTTGTTCACACAATCATCATATTCTCTTATTCACAAATAATCGGAAGTATAATTAATTCAAACAAAAAAATTGGGATGAGTTTATCGGCGCATTGCACTTCAGAAAGCTGATAATGAGATTTGAAGATTTTCTTAAATGTTAAAACACAAATCATGATAAGCCTATGAGAATTCAAGTTGCGCAGTTCAATGCTACGCAGTTGCATAAATGTAATAAAAAGCCAAACATCATCGATTGGAAAAAATAATTTATTTTTCGATTCGTTGTCCATTTTTTTAATTCATGTTATTGTTTTCTATATTTACAAATTAGCAAACCAGTTCCAAAAAATGCTCAGTTGTCAGTTGTCAACATTTGATTTTTTTAAAAAACACTAGAAGGCAGAAAAATATGCCCCTCGTAAATATCGAGGCAGGGACGAAGGGACAGAACGTCCCGTCCCTGTAAGTCTAGCGTAATCTATGTAGTTGATTGATCGTTTCAATTCGTTTGAAAAGGTTAGAAAGGTTAAAAAGGTCAATTACACTCTTCCAGAGCTCAGAGGATTTAACAAAGTGCACAAACATCGCATATGAATACATGCTAAACGACGCATCACACACGAAGTATGTGATAGGCTGGATCTTTTTATCATATTCAAACCCGGTTACTGCGAAACAACACCAGGCGACCTTAACCATTAGACCATCACGCTGCTCAGTAAGTTGAAGCCAGTAACTTAACAAATTTGTTTTGTGGTTGAATTGATAATTGATTTTATAATGAACGAGATGAAATAACCTGAGTCACAATTCCACATTGATTTGTAATAAACAAGTCACTTATTTTTAATTATTTACTTTAATTTAGTGCATAAGTTAAAAGTTTTAAATTGTAAAGAGCAAGGTTGACAAGCAATTTTTTGCGTATAAAACTACAATTATGACCAAAATATAGAAATGGCAAATAATTTTACAAATATAGCACCAATGCAAAAGAAGTTAACGCTTTGGGACAGCACCCTCACGTTCGAAAACCAATTTTAATTTATTTGGCATAGAACGCATTAAAATAAAGTAAAATGCTGCTGTAGGCTCAGTGAAATATTTGATGAACTCACAAAAATATAAACAAGACTAGTGATATTAACGGGTTTGGCTTGGCTTGACTCTCAAGCCGAGTCAAGCCTATAAAATTCCAAGCCGAGCCGATAAAATTTTAAGCCGAGCCGATCCAAGCTGAGCCGATACAATTCCAAACTGAGCCGATCCAAGACACGAAGCAGATGAATACGCATTTACCCCTAACGAAAAGAAATCATTTTAATACGCGTAAATTTGTAAGCGGTTTATATATAAAAATATTCAACTTGGAACGGAAGTTGAAGAGATACAAATGTAACCCCTTGCCATTTCACTCAGTATGGAATATTGTAATTTATGATTTTTCCACCATTCACACGAATTATAATTTCGGGATTCCACTTTAACTATTAAGTTTAGTGATGCTAACAGCTTGTTTTAAAGTTTTAAAGATATTTTTTTACATAATTGAAATTTTTTTTCGATCATCTCCATTGGTTAGCTGGTTAAATTTCCGAGCCGAGCCGATCGGCTTCTAACTTCAAGTCGAGTCGAATCAGCTACATCGGCTTGGCTTGGCTTGGACACAACATCAGTAAACAAAACACAATTTTAAAAAATAATAATAACCGACAATTAATAATAAAATATTTTAACAAAGTTAGAGAAGTCATGAAAGCTATTGCAATTGACAAAATTAAACTAAAAAAAACAAAGTTAGGACGATTTGAAGTTATTAAGCTTTATTTGCATTGACGATCTCTATTTTTTATCCATGACTAGAGCGACACAGCACACTATCAGCACGTACAGGTTTAGACTAGTAAGCAAAGCAAGACAAAGAAGTTTAAATTTTATTGAGGCGCTTTTCTTCAAATTGACATTTGCAAAATCCAATTCAACGTGCATTTTAGACAGAGTTTGAAACTGCACGTTGTGCTCACGCGCATATGGTGCGTGCAGTATATTTGTGCTGCTATCTCATAACAAGTCTGTATGGCGTCTTACGTCGTGTTAGTATTACATATATTGAGCTAACTATTTATACTTGTTCTTATGAGTGTTCACTAGCATGCTTGCACACGTGTTCGAACTGAGAGAAATTATGCAGACAGGTTTCTTTATACAAAGAATAGAGATGACGCAAGCATAAAACATGTTAATAAACACACATAAACATACACTCGTTTGCAGGATGTAAAATAATTCACGCTCAGATCAACAAAGAAAATTGAACATATTTTCTATAACACGAAAGATCGACAACCAACAAACCAACCAACCAGCCAATTAACCAACCAGCAAATAAGCCAACCAACAAATCAACCAACCAACCAACTAACCGACCAAACGAACAAAATCAATCTCTGTGTTGTTTTCCCAACGAATGAGCAAACGAAGGTAGGAAGCTATTTTTAGTTCTCCCTTGTCAGCTGTGTTCATTTGTTTACATCACGTGTTGTAATTAACATTAGCCTGGTTCCTTAGCAACGGGCTGCCTACTTACATTACAAAAAAGCTTCAACCAGCTTTCTGCAGGGAACCAGCGCGCACCAGGCACATATGCATAAAAGATAAATTCAACAATCGCTCGAGCGTTTTGCGTTTTAAACAAAGACTTGAAAATAATTTCTATTCAGCTGGTGATTATTTCAACATACAAATATCGTTTTAAAGTTTATTATTTTCTAAATCGTCATTTTTTCTGAACGCGGTAAGCAGCAAAGATATTTTGTGGTGTTTGTTGTTGTGTGCTGTTAGAATCCTGTCAGAACAGCTGATCGTTTCTCTAGCAATAACAAACGGACAGGCAAATAAACAAATAGGCAAATAATAAAGAAAGCTTTTTTAGACACAAAATAAAATCTTCCTATTCAGTTTTCAGGAAATTATTATTTAAGATTTTAGATTTCGTAGCGTTTAATTAATTTATTTGTTTTAATTCTAATTTCAAAACATCTGGTTTTTGAAATTTTTCAAAGTTTAAATTTAAATTTTCAAAGTTTTTTTTAAAACTAATCTTTACTAAACATCTTAAAAAAAGCATAAGCCATATAAAAACAGCGAAATAAGGTAATAAATAAGACAAAAGTAGTCATTCAATTAACATAAGAATTATTGTATTGTATATTTATATTAATTTACTTTTTTGATGTTTCAAAATCAAAATGTAGGTTTCATGGTGTTTATAAAACTTTGAAACATCAGAATTTTAATTTTGAGCTTTCATATTTTATTTTTTAATAATCTACCAAAAAAAACTTACAAAAAATGTAAGTCTTATTTTAATTCCGTTATCTTCTGGGACTTTATTTTATGATGCATAGTTATTCATTATTGCATTATAATTAAGAAATTGACCAGCCAGCTCCATTGAAAATATATAAAAAGAGCTGTTTGATTTATCTGTTTTCAGTTAAAATTTGGAACATGAATTTTTTTAAAAATAATTGAATGTTTTAAAACAATTTTTGGCTTCAGTCAGTTTTACCAGCCAAAATTTCAACGACAAGTGACCAGCAGACCTCAAAAGCAATGGTGAAAACTTTTCATGCCTACCTCCCTGACGAGTGTCATCGAACGTACAGCTGTGTCCACTGCAGAGCTCATCTAGCCAATCACGATGAACTCATTTCTAAGGTTCTTACATTCATTTGTTTGTTCTCACATTAAATAATAATAACTAACAGATCAGTGCTGTCCTAAACTAAACTAATTCATGTTTGTAATTCTAATTTACCAATGTTTATAAGATGAAATACTGACTGCGAAGAAGATTTCATAATTTGTAAGTTTAAACAGCATTTCTGCTTTTGTGAACAAAAACACATGTGTTTATGAGCTTTGTTTTTAATTTATTAATTCAAATCTAAATGTGAAAATCATTTATGAGAAACCATTTAAAGTTTTGAGAATCAATAGTTTTATTTTGTAAACATGATCAATTTGAAATGAATTTCATTTTTTTCAAAATCATTAGAAACATCGATTGAAATGATTGATGCAAAATTCTTCATCATCAGATAGTAAATATTTTCAATATATGACAGTTTATCAAACATCTACATCTTAATTTTTTTCACACACACACACACACACACACTCACATACACACACATACATATATATACATATAATTTATATTTATAAATATTGTTCATCTACCCATTAAATTTCATTCGTTTATTCATTATTTCATTCAGTCATTCCAGGGAAGTCAAGGGCGAGCCTATCTCTTCAATTCTGTGTTAGTAGTTCTTTGTTATCTCCAATTCTCTGTTTGTAGTTCTTTTTTCTCTTCAATTCTCCGTTTTTAGTTTTTTGTTCTCTTCAATTCTCCGTTCGTAGTTCTTTGTTTTCTTTATTTCTCATTACTTTGTTCTCTTCAATTCTCTGTTTATAGTTTTTTGTTCTCTTCAATTCTCTGTTTGTAGTTCTTTGTTCTCTTCAATTCTCTGTTTGTAGTTCTTTGTTCTCTTCAATTCTCCGTTCGTAGTTCTTTGTTTTCTTTATTTCTCATTACTTTGTTCTCTTCAATTCTCTGTTTATAGTTTTTTGTTCTCTTCAATTCTCTGTTTGTAGTTCTTTGTTCTCTTCAATTCTCTGTTTGTAGTTCTTTGTTCTCTTCAATTCTCCGTTCGTAGTTCTTTGTTTTCTTTATTTCTCATTACTTTGTTCTCTTCAATTCTCTGTTTATAGTTTTTTGTTCTCTTCAATTCTCTGTTTGTAGTTCTTTGTTCTCTTCAATTCTCTGTTTGTAGTTCTTTGTTCTCTTCAATTCTCCGTTTGTAGTTCTTTGTTCTCTTCAATTCTCCGTTTTTAGTTTTTTGTTCTCTTCAATTCTCCGTTCGTAGTTCTTTGTTTTCTTTATTTCTCATTACTTTGTTCTCTTCAATTCTCTGTTTGCAGTTTTTTGTTCTCCTCAATTCTCTGTTTGTAGTTCTTTGTTCTCTTAAATTCTCTGTTTGTAGTTCTTTGTTTTCTTCAATTCTCTGTTTGTAGTTCTTTTTCTCTTCAATTTTCTGTAGTTCTTTGTTCTCTTCAATTCTCCGTTTGTAGTTCTTTGTTCTCTTCAGTTTTCATTACTTTGTTATTCTCATTGGTTATCCTAACACACAGCGAACGTGAAACCCAAAGGACGGCACCTCACACGTTGTACCTGACAGGCATTCGAACCTGGCCTGGCACCTTTAAACATCCATCCATCCATCCATCCATCCATCCACCCATCCATCCATCCATCTCGTCGAACGCACAGCAGTTGCTGGCTGTCTCCAGTTCTCTTCGGTTTCGTTCGCCTCTTCATTTTTGTGCGTCACAGACTGGAAGCTGTGTGTTCATTTTATTGAACTGCCAAATTGATGAGAGTTTTTTCTTTCAATGAACATTATAATTTTACGTGATCATTATATAACATTTCATACGTTGCTTAGTATATCGTTTCGGTTTCGTCTTATATAACTTTTATAGATTATAGAACGTATCAATGCACTTGAAAACAATGCATGTAATGGAGGGGATGAGAGGATTGCGTGCTGACGATGCGAGTACATGTTAAGTGCTTGTTGTTATTAATGAAACATTCGACTGATGGCAATGATTACTGAGAGGCCTGCACGCCACATGGACACGCATGAATACGAGTGAACCACCGCGTCACACATTCCTGTGGGGTCTCTTCGAGTTCAAACCCGATCATGCTCCTTCGTTTCGCTCTAAACCGAACGAACGAACGAACGAACGTAAGAACGAACGAACAAGCGAACGAACAAAAACCAACAGAGTAAATGTCGGATGTGGACAAGCAGAGGAGAGGGTCCTGTTGACAGGGTTGCATGCAGTGGCAGACATTTTCTGTGAATCCTGCAAAACTACACTCGGTTGGAAATACGTTAGTAACATTTTTTAATTACTTCGTGCTGTTCAAGTTATGTTGGCTGGCAGTTCCATTTGCTTACTGCTTTGTTTCTGCTACATTCTCACTCACACGAACTGGTTTGGTTAGGGTAGTCATTGTCAGTCGTAGTTAGGTCACTGTGAAGGAGGTCCTCCACGGCTCTTCATTTCATTGTCCAGCAGACTCCAACTCATTTACATAGAAAAATACATGAACATGTAAACAAGCTTGAGATATTTTCAGCAGATAAAAATATCAAGCAGTACAGTTTTGAGTTACAAAGTTTATGTGATTAAAAACATCAGCAACAGTTTTTAGATAATGAGTTGATGATATTTTTCTGTTCGGTTGTGTTCTAATTTTAATTTTATCGCCATTGGAATTTTATGCTGAGCGCGCGTGTGCGTGCGTGTGTTGTATTGATTTTCTACTTCCTGTCGTTACACCCCGGCAGGCTCAGTAATTTATTTTTATTCCCTTGCAGATCTGATGGGTGGGTTTGTTCTTTTCAGCTTCTTACCACGTTCTCTCTGATATATTTGCATCTGCCCACCTTCATGTTTATGCTTCTTTCTAGCTTAAGTTGCACTAGCCTCCTCGTTGAATTGTTGTAATATAATTGCTGAGACGCAATTAACTGAAGTGAACATTTCATAAACATCTGCTTGATTCGTTTTTGCCATCATGATGTTAAGATACTATTTTGGTGTTGTTGTCATGATGTTGTAATGATGATGATGTTGCGATGATGTTGTTACGATGATGGTGTTACGATGATGGTGTTACGAAGATGTTAAGTTGACGTAATTAGAACGCCGTTATCATCAGTGTGTCGCAGTCGGGTGAAAAAAATCCGACTCCGGGTTCCGAATTCCAACTTTCGTATCATAATTTCATCATATTATCACTACTAAGTGAAAAATATTTTAAACAAACACTTAAAATCAGTCAATGTTACTGTTTATCTCAGTAAAATTACTTTGTTTTTATGTTTTACAGTATACTGAAAAAAAATTAGTGATTTTATTAACATAACTAGCATTTATTTTTAGTATTGAAGATGATTGCCTTTTGGTGCGTATATTTATCTTCTAAAAAACACAATCTTAAAAAACTTACAGGAAAGAAAATTAAATTTTTTATTTTTAAAATTTTAAAATTAAAATTTTTTAAAAGTAAATAACTTTTTCCGGTCCGACTCCGGGCTCCCAAAAAGTTCCGACTCTGGGAAAAATTTCCGACTCCGACGCCCTGTTTATTACGTTATCACGATTTCATGATGTTGTGACGTTGTCATGATGTTGTGACGTTGTCATGATGTTGTGACGTTGTCATGATGTTGTGACGTTGTCATGATGTCATGATGTTGTTAGCACGTTTTTATAAAACGTTGCGATGTTGCACTGGCAGGAGCACGCATTCGAGACGAGTCAGAAGTACAAGGAGGGCAAGTACATCATCGAGGTCGCCCACATGATCAAGGACAACCGCTGGAATTAAATTTTTTTTTTTTTTATTATTTTTTATTTTTTTATTACTCTTCCAATGTATTTTTTGGCTGTTGTATTTTATTGTCATTTTGATATGTATATGTTGGATGAGTATATGCTCTCAAGCTGACTCTTGCAAATGTTGAATAACACATTCGCAAATTATTTGATATGTTTATACAACTCTATATATATATTTATATATTTACACGTAAAGGAGTATTTTTATTTTATACATTTTTTTCAACGTATATTTTTATGAATTTAAATGACTTTTAATAGCGGTTAAGTGAGAAACTTTATGAACATCAAAAGAACGCAAAGGTTCCTATCGAGGTAATTCACACGCTTTCTTATAATTCATGGACACAAACGTACGATTGTATGCTACTGGTTACTTGCTTGCTTTTATTTTCATAACAACTAGAGGACAGTAACAATTTTATCGCCACATCTACCAATGAAGGGCTCCAATCATTAGAACTTCTACCTTCTCCAATGTTAGTAACGTAATAAATACTTAATGTAAGGATCTCATGGGCTAATCCCATGTCTGCCGAAAATTTTTATTTGCCTGGTTTAATAAAGTTTCAACAAGTTGTCACAAATGAAGAGTTATTATTTTAATATTGTACTTTCTGATTCTATAAATTTGGCGACGAATTGAAATGTACACTTTCCTTTGTAGTTGCTTGCGTACAACAGACATCAGTGCTTGAAGTTAATAATTTTGTGATACGCTACATTTCATAGTGCTTGCTAGTGTTGAATGCAATGCAGTGTTGTGTCTCGATTTCAAGTAATTAAATACTTTCATTCAACTTGCTATGGGCCGTACAATTTTGTTCTCTATTTATTATTTTTATATAATTATGTTCATTCATTATGTGATGTGGGTTGATGATGTCGATTATGATCGTTATTATTTGATTATTTGATATGCCATAACAACGTTGGTTTATAAGCCTGGATCCCATCATTGGACCGCACTGAACCTTTATACATGATTTTTTATAAATTGATTGTTTATTCATCCTACTTGATGTTTCGGAAGATGTTCTAAACTTTTATTCTAAACTTTACTAAATTTCCAATGGTATTAAGATCGTAGTACTTGTGGTCGAGCGTGTGAATTGCAGTATCGCGAATGTGTGTGTACTCTACATGTGTCTTATGTGATGCGATGTGATTGCTGGCATCATTAGTCAGATGTCTGATGGGGAACTGTTCATTATGTTCTTTATTCTGTTCATTCTTATATTTTAATTTTTAGTTTTTGTGGTGTTCATTAGTAAGCAGAAACAGTTTCAATTTTTAAAATCTTTAACTTTAGACCATATATTTATATATATTTGTGTGTATTCGTTTAAAAAATTCTTGAATACTATGTAAAATAATCTGTTAACAAAGTGTAATTTGTGCTAAATGTTTGGAAAATATTTTTGAAAGTTTTTGTTTATTTAGCAGTTGATAAAACGATTGTAATAACAAGTCGATCTTACGTCATGCATGCATTTCGACTTTTGATTCTCTTTAAGTTTTAGGTTGCACTTTAAAGTTCAACCCTCGATTTATATCTTTCTCACTCTTTCCACGTATTTGGTGAGTATGCTTAATTCTTTGTTATATATATATATATATATATATATATATATATATATATATATATATATATATATATACTCTATGTTTTCACACACACACACACACACACACACACATATATATATATATATATATACAGATGATGATTGGAACAAGCTCTTCAGCGGGTAGATGAGTAGATAGGACGGAAGTGAGGAGTTCTCAAATGAATGTTGGTGATTGTAGGATGGATGGAGTGTGGGTGGATGGAGTGTAACAATGCAACATTGCGAATAAGGAAACTTTCCATTGTCAATGTTGGTGATGTGATACTTCGTCGAAACGGCATGTTATATATACAGATGGTACACACACATATATGCACGTAAGCAGGCATTTTTTGTTTCTTTTTCAATCCATTATCATCCACAGAACAATTTGAGTTTTTTTTTCTACCACCGTTGTATATTTATTTAGTTTTCCACGCATCTCTTTGGTGGTAGTCATCTTTCCAAAACGCCTGCAGCTTCCTCTCTTCGATACCATTTTATTCCACAAGCATTGACCCTTCTGATCCCTTCTGCTTTTAAAATTCATGGTTCGCAGTGCGGTCGCCACACAAGTCGCCAAAGTTTATGATCGCTTGAAGTTCCAATTTGTATCCATTTGTAAACATTTGGCGTGTTGGTGAAAGTTAGCCGACAACACGCGCAGAAGCTTGCACACACAATTAAGCACTGAAAAGCTTACATGCTTACATATATGCATATATAATCGCTGACACTACACACACACACACACACACACACACACACACACACACACACACATATATAAATTGAATGAATGTTGAAGATTGTAGGATGGATAGAGTGTGGGTGGATGGATTTATTATACTGATCTCTACGACCGACCGACGATAGCGAAAAATATACTTGCTTTTTTTACTTGGAAAAAGAAAGAAAGAGGAGAGAGAAATATTGAAAGTGTTACTACGTGTTTGTACAAATTGTGCTATATGTATGTATATGTATGTATGTATATATATATATATATATATATATATATATATATATATATATATATATATATATATATGTATATGTATGTATGTATTAGGGATATGACAATTTTTAAAGACCCTATCCCCATGTTATTTTTTGTGGAGTTTTAATGCAAAGATGAAGAAAAATCCAATGGCAAGTGTCAACTTTAAAAAAATGTTACCCCCTTAATCAAATTTATATATATATACAATTATACATTGTACAAAATGGTTTTTTTTAATCAGAAATACAAACATACAGGTTTTAGTGTTCATTTGTCAAAAGAAATTTAATGTTAATTTTTTCAATGTTTTTGCACAATGGAAGTAAATCCTGCAGAACTTTAATTGCACGTTCAGCACAAATGTTTGACCTTTGAGTTGGGATTGGAGTCGGCTCAACCGACCAAAAAGTCCTTAAAGTCTTTATTGCCTTTGAGTGATCTTTGCAAACGGCTGCCAAATTATTGTAGTTATCCTCATTATAAACCTGACCAGAAAACCAGATGTCACTCCACGTGCCACTAATAAAGTCACATGATGACTGACCTTCGGCTGACTGTCGAAATTCTGGAAGTAAAATATAAGCTAGCAAAGCATAGATTGCTCGGCTATTCCATCTTGCATTGCTTATATTTGGCAAAGTTCTGAATTTTACTTTAGGGAAGCATCCTGTTTTCTTAAACTGTCTGTAACATGTGATCAAGTGATGAATGAAAGCCATATCATCTCTCCAAACAACTTCTTCTTCTTCTTCCTTCAGAGCATCTCCAGAATTGTCAAAAGATGCTTTCAGTTGCTGGTACTCTTCTGTTATTCTGCTAATGAACCAATAATTGAGATTAGGCGAGGTTGTTGCTGCTTCAAAATAATCATTCATTACATGTTTTAGTAATATTTTGACTGGCTTTTTGCTTAATCAACTTTAGTTTTCTAGGATGAACTCCTTGTGTATCTTCAATTGTAGTGCAGTAGCCAGCTCTACAATTTGTTGACATCTGAAGGTTATAGAAGGCTTTATCTTCCTGGCACAACCATTCTCCATTTTCATCAGTTACGTTGAACAAGTTGGTAAAGTCTTGCGTTCCTGGTTTTCTGCTGTCTTTTTCATACTTGTTTAGTACATTCTCAATTTTTCTTTCCACTGTAGATTTGCCTTTTTGAATTGGAAGATTCAGTTTTTTCCATAAGATTTTTACTTCTTTGACCACTATCACAACTCTCTCCTGTCTACTTTTCACATTTGCAGCCAAGCACGTAAATCTGTCCAGGATATGCTGTTCTGTTGGCATTTTGTTCATTTGATCAAGACTGTCAACAATCTTTGCATACTTTCTTGAATTCTTGGCTGTTTCAAATCTCACCAAATTTGATTCCCATAGTTTCTTATTCAAATCTGAAGGAAGACTATTTTTCGACATCTAGACGTCCTTTCGAATTATAATTTGAGTGAAAATTTAATTATCTACAAATAAACAAATCTTATGAGTTTAGATTATCAAAATAGGTTTATTAAATATCAAAAGTCAGGTGATGATAACAAATATAATATATAATATGAAAGATTATGTAGTAAGCATGCATACATTTAGCATACACCAGCAATAAACTGAAGCTGTGATACCTTAAACTGTACTGTATCTAACAATAGATAAATGGGAGAAAACGGTTTTCAGCTAGGGGGTGAACCTTTTTAAGATTCAACACTTTCAAATGGTATTTCCAGTTTTAAAATGTAATTTCTCCACTCATAGTGGCATGGGAAACCAAACATCGCCAAAAAAATTTTTAGTCATATCTCTAATATTTTATTTATTTTATTTTATTTTCATTATAGAGGACCAAATAAGTTTAAAATAAACTTGTGGAGAAGCCACCCTTAACTAAGTCATTAATAAACATAAAGGTTCAAAGGTTAGAAAATTAAAAAAACTAAATTTCGGCGTTCAAATACATTCAAATACTATATCGAAATCCTATAAAAATGTTAACTCCAATTGAATATATTCAGATAATACTTCTTAACCAGACAAATAATCATAATAATAACGGACAGACAAAAACACACACGCACCACGCACTCGCACCACACACACGCACCACACACACGCACGCACAACACACCCACACTTCTATTCATATTTAAACAACAGCTATATATTAATGTATATAAATCGTTAGATGGTGGTGTCGGGGTGAAGTAAGTAAAGCTGAGATTGCAACCTTTTTTTGAAGAGTTGCTTGTTTGTTATGTTTTGAATGGCCTGAGGCACAAATAATTTCCAAATTTTAGGGCCAGTTGTTTTTAAACTTGTAGAGATGAGTTTAAGGCGAGTTTTCACTGAGTAAAAGATAGTGGTGTGTCTAGTTTTGAGAGTTTGAACAGATTCACTGAGTGTAAAAAAGTTAGAAAAAAAGGAGGGAAGTAAATTATTTAAGAATTTGAATACAAAAATAGCTGTAAAATAAATGTATAAACAATTAATCGACAAAATATTATGTTTACTAAAAAAAGAGCTAGTGGGAGAGAAAGGGTTCAAATTGAAGATTAAGCGTATAGCTCTTTTTTGTGACAATATCATACAATGAAGATGGGTTTTTGGTGAGTTACCCCAAATGGTTATGCAGTAAGTGAGATGAGGATAAATAAAAGCATAGTAGAGTTTTTTTTAAGGCGGATTTGGTTAATTTGTGCTTGATTTTGTAGAAAAGACCTATGAGTTTGTTGATTTTAGAGGAGATAGATTGTAGATGAGATTCCCAAGAAAGATTTTCAGAAATGGTTATACCTAAAAATTTAGAAGAAGATGCACGACTTATTGAGATATTGTTGATATTAAGATTTAGGTTTGGAGACAAATTTGATAAGATTTTTGGGCCAAAGATGATATAAGAACACTTAGAGTAGTTTATTATGAGTTTATTAGCAGAGAACCAATCAGAATATTTAGAGAGCACTTGGTTAATTGAATCAGAACAGTTTGAGATGTTATCAGGAGTAAATAGGAGGTTGGTATCGTCAGCATAAAGCAAACATTTTATATCGGTAGATACATTTTGGATATCGTTAATATAGATTAGAAAAAGTAGAGGGCCTAAGATTGAGCCTTGAGGAACGCCGTTTAGGATGAAGGCCGTAGTAGATTGGTGATTTTCAACGGAGACGTATTGTTTACGTGAAGAGAGATAACTCTTAATCCAATCGTTGGCTACGTTTCTGACACCATAAAGTTTTAGTTTGTTTAGTAAGATGTTATGATTGATTACATCAAATGCTTTGGAAAGGTCTAAAAATAATCCAACTGAAAGCTTTTTGTCATTTAACCTGGATAAAATGTGATGTATGAAATCAAGAGTAGCAAGCTCTGTGGAGTGGTTTGGCCTAAAACCGTATTGATTATTGCAAAAAATTTTGTTGGCCTCAAAAAAGGAGAACAACCTAGTATAAACTAATTTTTCAAGAAGTTTGGATAGTGGAGAGAGAAGAGAAATGGGTCTATAGTTATTGATGTCATCAGGTTTACCGTTTTTAAATATAGGAATAACTTTAGAGGTTTTAAAAGTATCAGGGAATACACCAGTGGACAAAGATAAATTGAAAATATGGATTAGGGGAATTGTTAAATTGTGAATTGTATTTTTTATTAAAAACATATTTAATCCGTCAGCAGCAACCGATTTATTATTTTTCATCTTGGCAGTTAAAGTTATCAATTCAGAAGTTGAGATGGGGTAAAAATCAATAGAATCAGATAGAGAGCGGCTTATGAATGAAATCGGATTAGTTGAAACAGCAGGAAGAGTAGAAAGAAGTTTGTTGCAGATAGTAGTAAAGTGTTCGTTCAAGTGTTCACATATGTCCTGTTTGTCGTCAATGGGGATGTTGTTAATGGTGAGTTTAGATATAGGAAGAAAAGATGAATTGGAGTTCAGGGCTTGCTTTATCAGTTTCCATTGGTATTTGGGATCATTTTTAGAAATAGCAAAATTGATGACATAGAATTTGCGCTCAGTCTTTCTTTTTATTGAAGTGAAGAAGTTACGGAACTTTTTGTAAGCAGAGATGTTAGTATCGGTAGGAAATTTGATGCTTTTTATATATAATTTATATTTAGTTTTGGATAATTTGATGATATTTTTATTGATCCAACCTTTATGGCGTTTGTACTTGGAAGGTAGTTGTGGTGAGACAGCGTCTAGAATCCTGAAGAAAAGATGTATGTATATATATATTTTTTACAATATTCTATAAATTCTACCGAATGTCAACGCCAAACATTCGGTAGAATTTATAGAATATTGTAAAAATTATGGTCTATTACAAACATTTACCCGAAGTTCTGCGACCAACCGACGTTAACGCCAAACATTCGGTAGAATTTATAGAATATTGTAAAAATTATGGTCTATTACCAACGTATATATGTATATATATATATATATATATATATATATTTGCACTTATTGATGAAAATCACAGCTTGCTCGATGTTAGTTCACTTCCAATTTAACTTTTCGATTTTTCTAACGGTTCATCGTAAATCATTTTCAAGTTTCTTTAGTTCAAAACCAATTTTTTTTTATTTTATACGTGTTAGAACAGAAAAGCTTTTTTCGGTATTCCTATACCATCTTCGGTGTTCAAATGGTATGTTGTGTTTGTGCCCAGATGCTCAAATATATATATATATATACTTATATATATTTATTAGAAAACACGTAAAAGTGCTATATTTAAAGAAGTCGAAATTGTAAAACTAAGTGTTCACTTTAAACAAACAAGGAATCAACAAAGTAGAGGCACAATATATATAGGTATATTTGAACATCTGGGCACAAACACGACATATCAATATGAGCACCGAAGATGGTATAGGAATACCGAAAAAAGCTTTTCCGTTTTATCATGCATAAAATAAACAAAAATTTTGGTTTTGCACTAAAGAAACTTGCAAATGATTTACGGTCAACCGTTAGAAAAATCGAAAAAATAAATTGGAAGTTAACTAACGCCGAACATGCTGTGATTTTTATCAATAATTGCATGCATTTCTGACAGTCTTAATCTAATATATATACACAAACTGTTTTATGGCTTTTGTGACTTGTTATAAAAGACTATTGCGTTTTAATTAATTTCTTTTCTTATATATAGATTAGAAAAAGATTGGAAAATGATTACAATAACAAAATTTTTAATTGTGAAATTATTTTAAACACCAGGAGCATGGAGTTTGTTGGCTTATTCAACTAAGTCATTTTTATCGTGAATTTTGTTACAGGAATAAAATTCAACATGGATATATTAATAACAATTCATTATTACCATTTTATCGAAAAATATACTTGCTAACAAGTTAATGTTGATCGCACTCTTTCCCATCGCATGTTGTGAATATCATCCATTATTATCATGACAATTATTTCATTTTAACTCGACAGATGTCCGCTATGCTTTTAATCTAGCTAGTAGACCGTTCATTTTTGTCGAGAGGTGCTTACTTAAAGTTACAAAAATTTGAAATTGTTTTGCAATTTTTAATGATTAGTCAGGCAGCTAAAAATCTCTTTATAACTCGTTCGCTCACAAACAGCACTGCTCATAGGGCGTAGTTACTCGTTTAGTTCAGTCAAAACGTTATCAAAGAAAAAATTGCGAAATGTTTTTATTGTTTCGATATTCCTACCTGAGAATGTCTCAGAAGAACTCTCGTTCATTATAAATTGCACGCTAAATTATTATTATTGTTGCATCTAAATCTATTGAAGCTTTAAGGGTATATGCTCATTTTAGAAGTAAAATAAATTGAAAATGTAGTTTTAATTTGAAATGATTGTCTCTACTTAATAAAATGAGTGAGCTCAGGCGGATGGAGCAGCTTATTTTATAGAAGCGAATGCAACCGTCGGTTCAGTTTATCAATTATATATATATATATATATATATAATTATATATATATATATATATATAATTATATATATATACATATACATATACATACATATATATTATACGCGCATTTATATATATATATATATATATATATATATATATATACATACATACATATATATTATACGCGCATTTTTTTTATAATAAAACTGAAAAGAATGAAGAATGCCAGGCGGAATGACAGCTGACTATATAAAAAAGTTCTCGATAACGTATCTGCACCATCCTTCCCATCTGTCGGCTACCTACCATGTTAACAAACAATCTGACGTGTAATCAACTGCTCACTTTGGCAAATGATGGCGAGACATTTTAGCAGATGATGCCAGATTCAGGAAACGATCCAGTTTAATTATTCGTATTTGAGTTAAAGTTGTTAATGTTCTTTTTTTCCTTAGCTGTCAGGCACAACGGAATACTTTTTTTAAATGTAGATAAGCAGGATTCAGGATGACTAAGCAAGGTCT